ATATATTCCGGGTTGAAAATGGGCAGACAAAATAAGATTTATTCTTCTTCTGCTACCTTTCATTTTATTTTGATTTGTATTTTTATTTATTTATTTTTTTTGGTTTTGGTTTATTTTTTATTATTGTATATAGTATTTTTTAATGAAATTAATAATTTATTTGAATTGAACTGAACATGATTTTTTGAAATATCAATAAGACTTATTATAAATGTGCATTTTTAATTAAATGTATGCATCACTATTTATATTTCATGTTACTGATAGTGTAAAAATGAGGTCCTGTATTTTTGACAACAGACTGAAAAATTTTTTGGGATTAAATTATATGTCTTATTCCCTTACTCTCTGTAACACTTTGTCAGGGATATTACTTTAAACATGAAACATGGAGATTAAATCCCAAGGTGTTAAAGATGCAGAAACATTTTTGAAAAAATTACCCTTTATTGGAATTTAGCCCACTGCATTACTCCAAAGTATAAAATGCTGCCTTGTAAACATAATCTTTCTCGGTTCTTGCCAATAGAGAGGTAGAGAGGTTATGTGCCTTGTTTGCCAATGACCTTATACGTTTTGTTTTGTTTTTCATTTTTCCTTTATGGGTATACATTGTTTTCCTCTCTTCACACATGCTCTGCTTCTTTATTTTATTTATTATTTTTTTTAGGTTTGGCTTAGTGATATGTCCTATGAGTGTAAGACACAAACAAATTAAGAAAAAATAAAGGAAGATAAGAGCAAAGTATTTGTTCATTCACTGCGCCACAGAGGCAAGCCAATTTTCAACACATCACTTTTTATGGTACCACCCTATTTATGAATATTATCTTCAGCAATTAATCAAAGTGGAGCCAATATTGAAGTTGTGCTTTGCATGTAGATTAGCTATTCCAGTGCATCAAATCTGTTCTCATTTTTACATTTAGACTCACTCAGTTTATGAAATATGATTGCATTTTCCTCACCAGGATGCAGAATCATTGTCAGCATACAGATAATTCCTTTTCATGTGGACATTGCTTTGATTCACATTCCAGGTGTTATTTTATCACCGCAATGAGAAGAAAGRTGATGTTCAAGTGAAGCCAACACAATTTAATTTAAATACCACATACAGTATATCATTTGCAGAAGTTGTGCTTTTTGGATTGTACAGAAGTGTTAAAGAGTAATTAATACCAAATTCATTGTGTATGATCTAAATGTATAAAACCTGAATCACATTGCAACAGTGAAAACAACACTTGATCATCCAGCTCACACTGACACAAGTGAAAATCCAAAAATATTACAAAAGCTTCCCTTGATCAATGTTAATAAACGACCTTCACATAAATATAAGAGCAGCAAAATAAGAACAGAAAATGAGCGTTTTAATTAAAAATAAACTTTCTAATAATGGACCAGGATTTTTTGTGCATTTAAGGACAAAATGAAGAAGTCCATTAGCAGTTTGCACCACTACACGAATAAAATCATTAAAGTAGAAGCTAAATTGTGACTTTGGTTATTTTAAAAAAACAATAAAACAGTCCTTCAGTAAGATCCTGTAGACCCAATATACTGTATAAAGAATATAAAAAATACATTTTTAATATCAGTCTTACAATAAATATCAGCAGTAATCTGTTCATTTGAGCCAAAGATGGAGTGAAGTGAGATGTTTTGTATTGATTTGATTTGATTTATCTATTTAATAGGAAAAGATTATTAAAAATCAAGCCTGACTCACCATAATTGCTGTTTTACAGCAGGTTTCTGTTCTGCAGCACATAAAACACTCAGAATTACAGCATCACAATCACATCATTATACACCATAGACACAAAGACAAACAAGCATACCAAATTTCAGGAAGGCAGCATTTGCAAAATAGGACGTCTAAATATGAGCAGAACAAAAAGTGTCCAGCAGATGGCAGACAAGATTCTTCTTAAAGGGCTGTAGTTTTMAAATGGACTTTATGTTTTGAGGAATGTCATTCCATGCTTTAGTATAAACATAGAAGAAATACCTCTGGCCGTAACAGTTTTTAAAAGTTGGTAATATCAGTTGTCCTTTTGTAACAGATCTAGTTGAATGACCACTTCCAGAATTTGATTTGGGCAGCAATGCACAGAGAGTTCCATAATTGGCACCTTGGAAGATCTGAAAATATAAATTAATACCACTATACAAAACATAATTCTGAAAAGTCAAGGCATCAGATAATGAAAGAACTGTACAGTGATGAGTCCAACCAGGAAGTTTATTATGAATTTTGTAGGCCCTGTRGTAGAGCCTAACTATGGGTTCTAAGATTTGATTTGTTGTAAGAGACCAAACAGGTAAACAGTARGACATGGTTGAGAGTATAATGGCATGAAGATAGATATTTGAAACAGAAGATGTCAGATTGGATCTAATTTTTGAATAAACGTATAATTTCTGTTTCAACTTAGTGGTTAAGACTTGTACATGATCACGATAAGTCGAATGAGAATCCAAAGTAWTTCCAAGATATTTGTAGGTAGTGACAATATCAAGGGGTTTGTTTAAAAAAGTGAGTTGATTTGTTATATTGAAATGTCTCCTGGGTGAGGAAAAATACATGCACACAGTTTTTTTTAACATTAATTGACAAAAGGTTATCTTGAAGCCAACCATGAAATGTCTGAAGGTCTGCTTGTAARTGACTATTAATAGATTCAATATTGAAATCAGACAAAAAAGAACAGTATCATCAGCATACGTTAAGATATTTGAATACTTCAATATTTTTGGAAGGTCATATATGTATAATAGGAAAAGCAATGGGCCCAGTATGCTACCCTGCGGAACTTCCACGGAACAGGGCAGAGACCCGGACACAGAGCTTCCATGTTTCACAACCTGACACCTATCAGTCAAATAAGAGGAAAACATTTGTGTTGCAGATGATGAAAGTCGAAAAGAAATCAACTTTTGTAAGAGAGTATAATAATCAACTTTGTCAAACGCTTTACGAAAATCAATATATACAGCACCAGTTACATGACCTTTGTTCAAAGCAGCACATATTTATTTATTTAACAATTCTGGCATCTATTGAACCTGCTGTATCTACCTGTAGATTGAACTGTTAACCTCCCACAGATTTAGAATAAAGGGAAAACATATTGTTTCTAGGTACTTCTGGAAGCAAAAAAAAAAAGTTCCAAATTGGGTATTATTTTTGGCACTGCATTGTGACTGCTTGATTGAACAAAATGGACTGCTTTCGTATTTTTATTTAATAACAGAAATTTTCTATCTAAGATGGCCAAGTATGAACTGTTTATTACATAAAAAGTGGATTTTGTGTTTGTCCATCTATGAGCTGGATTTGTGCTGTTTTATCAAAGCAAAATCCTGTTATTTAAATAAAGAATAGTAAAAGATTTTCGTCTCTGGATTTCAGAATATTCTCTCAAACGATAACGACAATATGCATGAGATGATGAGAGCTTTGTTTCTGACCTCTGAAGTCACAGCATACATATTGCACATAATATTTCATTTAAGCCATTTCCACTCCGATTTAGTGAGTAAAGTATTCTTAATGTTCAAACGTAAGCAATTGAAACAGATTTTTCTTACTAATTTATGTGGTACAAAGCCATTAATCTTTTCAGTTCAAAAGCAATAACGAAAAGCCATAAAATTATTCTTCAAAGTAATATCAGTGTTCTTCCCTCTCTTTTGAAGGTTGTAAAGAGCAGAATAAGCCATTCTGACACCCTGCAGTAAAATACTGAATACACACATGCACACACATTCTCAAACACACACATACACACACACAGTAGCAGGCTAAAGGCTGTAAAATTACCTGATCTTGTCAGCTCATAGACATTAGTCATCATGTATAGGCCAAATGAGGTAAGACACACACACACACACACACACACACACACACACACACACACNCACACACACACACACACACACACACACACACACACACACACACACACACACACACACACACACACACACACACATTCACAACAAAAGACAAAGAGGTTTGAAAATTTTATAAAGCATCATTAAAATTTATAACACACCCAGACCAAAATAAAGTGTTATAAAAAAATTGAAATAGAAAAAAAAAGTGTGTATTGCTGTGAGTCTGCTGTACACTTAGTGGTATTTGTGTGAKGTGTTGGGATCAGACTGTTGCAGCTTCGACTGTTCTGTTCTTTTTTTTTCATTGTCCTCTGAAAATACAGACTTTTAGAGCGTTGACTAAAATCTTTAACAACTGGCAAGTTGCATCAGCCAAGCTGTGATTCTCACCTTGAGCTTCTTTTGCTTCTTCGTGGGGATAAGCTGAAATCTCACACTTCATGCACACCCACAGTCTGACCACACACAAAGAGAAGAAGCCCATTTATCCTGAATGAAAGTGTAAACCACATCCAAAAATAGAATAAAATAAAATAAAAAAAACAACGACAAAGGGTGCAACAAATGGGCAAAAATGGTTATTTGGGTTGTATGTCTACAGAAGGACGAATATTGAACAGTAAAATTGCTGTGCTGTGAAACGTACCGCAGCAGATGATAAGTGTAATKTTGGTCTAATATTACTTTCTTGGCTGAAAACTTGCTGATAGAATGTGCTCATGAAATCTGGGACAAATTAGTCTTTGGAGATMTCCCTTATTTTACATGTTCAGCCTTGATTCAGCAAATAAAAAGCTTGAAATTAGTTTAGGCAGCTCCAAAAGGCTACTACAGGAGATTCAAGGATTTCTTAAACATGCATGAATGAGTCAAAGCAACACTCTGGGGTTGTTGTTGATGAGGGACATTATAACATGATATAAAGCTAAAAAAAAACAATTTGGCACAATAACCCCCCTGTAATAGTATTTACGATCCTCACAAAAACACTAATAAKTAAAAGGAGAAGGTGTTGAAGTAAAGAATCACACATCTGAACATTGCAGTCATATATTCAGTTTTAATTCAATCATTTTTTTCTATCGTTTAAGGTGAAATATGGCCGGTTTGGCTTTGTGTGGGATGCAGCAGTGCTGGAGTACGTCGCCAACAATGACGAGGATTGTTCCTTCTACACTGTAAGCAACAACGCACCAGACCGTGGATATGGCATCGCCATGCAGCACGGCAGCCCCTACAGGGACATTTTCTCCCAGAGGTAAGGCTCATAATGCTAAAGAACAGCTGACAACACTTCTGCATGCGTTTTACTTGTCAGACAAAAACATTTGTTTGGCATGTGCAGATTGAGCTATTTGTTTGTTTCACCTCCTATCATCCTGTCTTGACTTTAGGTTTAAAAYCAACATAAGTTACAGTTTAAAACGTGTATTTTTTTTGCCCCTGTCGTTCTGGAGGCTTTTATCATTATTAGTACCGTTCCTGATTCATTTCAGTCAAGTAAAACGGACAGCCGTATAAACTTTGCCCTTTTGCAAAGCTTGAAAGCCTTTGCTTTGTAGGTTGGATGCCAAACACGTAGCTGATTGAATTGTATATTTATCTTCCAGAAGAAACAGTGAAACGGCACTTTAGCAACTTGTGTACACTAACACTTCACCTTGAGGTTGAGCAAATGTGACAAGATGGCCTCACAAATAAGTCAACAAGACTCTGTCACCAACTGTTAGCTCGAAGGGGAATTGTTGGCTGTTTTGTTTTGAATATAGTGGGGTCTTGACCTCACTYGGTCAAGTGAACAGATATGACTTTTGTTGTAACTGGGGATGATAAATAAAACCTAAATTGAATGGGAAGTATGTAGGCTGTTCCCAAATGTTTATCTTGTTTCGTTAGGACAGTCTGGGTTATCTCATCGATCAAGTCAGTAACTCAATTTATTCATTTATTCATTATCTATTTGGTCTCTTATGTAAACAAGGAAGTATGATAATTTCTGCAGCCACCACACAAAGGTCACTAACTCGTCTCCGTACAGCAACTGTGTTGTGCTTCTACAGTCTGGAGAGAGATCCCTTGTTTGACTGTTTACATTAATCTTTCATATTGTGCTGCAACATAAACCATATAACCAGACGGAAAGTTCATCGGGTGAAGTATTTTTTTAAGGACGCCCAAAGAGTCATTTGCATWCCAGCAGAGAATCATGCTAGCTTTATTAGCGATCAAGCATGAGATCATTACACAAAGAAAGAGGTAAAAAAATGTCTAATTACCTCATTACGCTGGTGAAAATCATATTATGTAAAACAGTCAGTGTTGTTTTTATTGGCATTTGTGAATGTGTGTATGTGTGTGGTAAAAGACTTGAACATGAATCATAACATGAGCTAAGTTATATGAGTATGTGCCGTGGCCTGTTTCTTAATATCTCCCTATCTGCTGAAGCGTTGCACTTCAGAATATTGCCTATCACGGATTATATTAAAATAAACAAGCAATTAATTGACAGGCCATGTTTCCAATTCAGGCTTATTATTTCTGGAGTAATGTCACACTCTCGGGAAGACACTTTCAAACTGTTTTCTCGCATTGGTCCCTGCGGTTCAAGCGAAAGTGCAGCAAGAAATTATCAGAAGTGGGGGGGCGGGGGGAATAAATGGTCACAGATGTGTAATTGTTTTGTTTTTCTTCGCCGCAATTTTTAGATCTGTCATTCTGACGTTCTCTATTACTTTGATTAATGTTGCAAAACATGGCGGTTTAAAAGAAATTGAATTAGCAGTTTGTGCCTTGACTCCACGGAGGGAAATGTTTTRGTGTTTTTTCTGACGTTTTGTGGTCTCATCACAACAAACACGTCAATGTGTTAATGTCATTTTCATTTGTGTTAATCAGAAAACTGGACAATTTATTTGATTGCATATTGATTTTCTACACAGTTGTAATGTAGTGATCATAAATGACAGAGAAGAATAATATATTGCACATTTCAAGCCGGTTGGTCATCGTCTACAGACTGACTGCTGTGATGGAGCCAGACAACCTGAGGTATCTACAGCAGTGAGATGGATAGGAGTTTTATTTGTGGAACCTTACATTTTTTAAAATCACTCTCATCTACTAAAAGCAACATTCCACAGCTACCCAGTGCAGGTTRAATGAGGCTAGCCAAAAGTAGCTGGAGCCTGTGGGGGTACAACAAAAGCAGCTTATGTACTGAAAGTTAAGTTGGGCTTTATCTTAACAAAAATCCCAAAATAAACTCTTTCAATTGAATAAAAGACTTGAACAGAAAATCTTAAATTATGAATATGATGGTGCAGATTCCACAATTTTACAGATTATGTAAAAAAAGTGTAAACACAATGTGTGGCATTGGGAATATATTTTGATATTGATTAAAACAATTCACTGAAGACTAATATAATTGCAGTTATTTACAAATGAAAGATTATCCAGTTTGCCTTTTTTTCYTTTTATGAGAACTAATAAACCAACTATTTTATCCCCTGGATCTAATTACATATTATTTGTACTGTTTAAATGTATTTGTAACCATGATATCCAAAACAAATTACACTTTCTTCAAACATTTACTTCTTTTGATTCCCGTTTTTTATCACTTGCTTTGATAAAACTACATTTTTAACTTGAACATATATGTTTTTTTATGTGTTATTAGGTATACTGCTATCATAATAAGCACTATAGGTATTTCTGCTTTAACTTTGAAGAGCACCATCTCTCAGTCTCAGGAAGCCAAGTTTAGATCATGTGTTCTCTGTAAAGGATGGGAGACTGGTGGGTGGAGCTTCACAGCAAATGTTAGAAGAAATTTTCTGAGCGAGTCCAGAAACTGTTTGAAATGTTTTGTTTTTGTGCAGAAAAAGACCTGAGGGTTGTACTATGAAGAGAAAAATAATGTATTCAGCAATATGTTGAAGTAAGACTTTTTGATATCGTGAAGCTACTGTATCTCAATTTAAACTTGCCTACACTATCAAAGGAACATTATGCTTAAGTCGTGACCTATTCTGAAGCAGTTTGTTTCAGTTTAAATGGTCTGTAAGAAAAATTTATTCACTGTTTCTTTTTTTTTTTTTTGATGTAGTAGCTTGAGGAAAAATAAAATAAATCTTGTTTTCCCAGCATAAAAAAATACTGAAATAAATTAATTATTCACAAATCCACTTAAGGACCAAGTAAATTTTTTTGTTTGTTTTTTTTTCAACAAAACCTTTCACCTTAATTAGATTTTTTTTAAAAGCAGAAGAGGATTGTATCTGCATTAATACTGGAGTCAGATTTTTAACAATTGTTTTTGCAGATGTCAGTTTTGTTTATTGTTTTTTCTGAATTGTTTCATTCCTTTTTACCAAATAATATTGAAAATAACACTCGAGAAAATGACTGATTTAACAAAGATTGAATTGTTTAAAAAATAGCTAGGACAAATTTATTTAAATAGGCCATTTAAATGTAAAACTAATCAACAAAATGTGATGTTCTGCATGAAAACTTGTATTCTGGTACTCACATTGAAGTTACTTTGACATTTGCCACCTAGTTTGCAGAAAAATAAACCCCACAATTATGACAGCTTTACCCAACAGTAGCTTCCACAGACTGACAGAAATTAGGGMTTTTTTTTAAATCTGCGTAGAACTGATGTAAGGATCTTACACTGTGAGCCCTCCAGATTAAAATTTYATGACATCTGATGGCGTTTAGGAGAACCAAGCCCATTTCACAGAAACTCCACCCCCTCAACCTACAAGTCCCAAAGGAGCTTTTTTTTCCCCCTCTTAACATCCTGCTACCCCTGAACACCCCCAGATGTCTTTGTCTATAACCTGTCTGGTCAAAGCTATAGTAAGTGTTGTAAAGTTAGGGCTGCATAGTGTAAATAATCAATGATTGGCTAGCATACCTGGGGAGAAACTCACAGCTTCTGAGGAGAATTTACTCGACGTGTGTGTGTGTGTGTGTGTGTGTGTGTGTGTGTGTGTGTGTGTGTGTGTGTGTGTG